TCCCTGTAACACACTGAGGGTGCTTAAACCAATCCCCGGGGCAGCCATGAACAGCCATGCCACGCCCTCGAGATCTGCCCTGCCTTACAATGCTGCTGGGACAGGATACAATTTTCCAGGTGTAGGGTTTTTGCTTTGGTTTGGTTTGAAGTGGGAGGGGAGAACTAAGGACCAGCACACAAGCCTGCCTGGATGCTGAAGGATGCCTTATCCCCCATCCGTCTATTGTGGAAGAGGTAGGTTTGTGACCTGGGCCATCCAGAATTTGCCGTCTGAAACAGAGGGGTACAAAGATTGAAGAATTCAGAAAAGGGCCTTTACGTACCCCAAGTGATCCTTCCCTGAACTGAGACCAGCAGAGGGGATCCCTGGGACAAGAGTATTTATAGTAACCCCCAGAGCAGAGGAGGGGGCATATCGGGGGTTAGCAAGGGGACCCGTACGGTGTGAGCCTGCAGATGGCAGGGGGTCCCACAGACAACAGACTGTATTGTCTCTTGCCTGTTCTTTGACACTATACTTCCTGCTGTGTTACCAAAACCTAGTGACTCATTTTCAGTCATGTCCACTTTTATCCTGCATGTTTTCCACACCAGGGTTGACACTGTACACAGCGCAGATAAATAATACATGCTCGCCTTCCTTCACTGCTCCAGCAAGGGCCTGCCGCACTCATTCAGCGCCGAGTGCCACCAGGCAGTCATCATGGCCCCGTGTGTTTGCTCTTCCCGAGCTGGGACAACAGGAGAGTGTTTGAATCGTAGCCCTACTCCTCTGAGACAAGTCACAGAGGCTGAGCTGCTGGATGTACTCCAGGGGTACGTCTACACAGCAAAGAAAACCCGCGGCTGGCCTGCACCAGCTGACGTGGGCTCGCAGGGCTCGGGCTGTTTCATTGCTGTGTAGACTTCCGGGCTTGGGCTCAAGTCTGAGCTCTGGGAGCCTCCCACCTCGCAGGGTCCTAGAGCCTGAGCCTGGACGTCGACACAGCAATGAAACAGCCCCGCAGGCCGAGCCAGCTGGCATGGGCCAGCCCCGGGGTTTTCTTTGCTGTGTAGACAGACCCTTGGCTGCCTATTACGAGTCTGTGATGGTGTCATGAAGGTGAGCATGGAACGGCCGTATGAGTGTGGTAACTAGGGCTGGACACCATGACTGCAGCAAGGTTTGCCGGTGGACGCTCAGTAGGCAAAACGTGAGGGTTTTACCCATTGGCAGCAATGTGTCTGGCTATCCAGCCTCACAACACAAGTTCAAAGAGGCCGTGGCAAAATCAGCAGTGCCCATGCGGCATACAGTGCTCTGCTGCGTCCGCTCCTGGCTGACCATCCTCAGAGTTAGGAGTTCCCCAACGCTTGCTCAGTGTGGACCACATCTTAACAAAGAGATTGTCTTGTAGCCACCGCTGCTCCAGTCAGTCACACTCCGGTACCATCTTTGTGGCTACTGCAGGGCAATTGGAATAGTACCAGTATTTCAGGTACTGTATTTATAGCTGTCTTCTCGTGTAAACAAGGAGCAGCAGCTAGCAGCAAGTGACCCACCAGCTCTCTGCAGGGTACCAGGCAAGTGCTCCATGGGCCATAGTCTGGGTCTGGCAACCACCAGAAGAAGATGGCAATGCTCTGGAGTTGCTTTTCATGCTAACTTCTTGGAATGGCCATCAAAGATTTTGTATCATCTGAGAGCAAAGGGAGGTTTCCTCAGTCCCCGGGGCACCTCTGACACACTCAGCACCATCTACAGGGCAGATATGCTTTTTATAACCCACACTCTGTGCTGGGTAAAAAACCCCTATATGTGAAAATCTATTATGCTAATGCACAAAAAACCCCAACCCCCAGGCAGGGGAGTGCTGACCCTATACAGGGTGCAGGTACTGTGTCTTAGCACAGAGTCCCCTACGCACACTGAACCCACTGGCTACTGTCCGTGTTGAACAATACTTCTCTTTGGAGACGTTCTTCCAGAGGGGACTTGGGTTACACTGGAAGGACATTGCTGTCTGGGTGGCGTTTGGCGCCAGTGGCTCTCTCTGAAGGATTACGGACAGGCTGCAGAGGCCTGTGAGAGGACGTCTGGAAGCCATTGATGGAGAATGTGCAGAAAGTGGATTCGGATTCACAGGTAGGTATTTACTTGTGCACAGAACTGGCCCACGAGGGGGATTACCCTCCAAGGGATTCTTTCATTACGGTGCTCAGCTTGTAGGGTGATAAGCATGGGATAAAAACCCACACAGAGCAGAATTTAACGCACTCGGGAATTGGATCTGGAGCGCTGGGCTCTGTTAGATTCAATGCTGTGGTGGATGCTGGGTTCTCTACAAAACCCAGAGATCCCTGCCCCAAATGCTGCCAGTTGAAGGTGATAAGACAAAATGCACCAGGTCTCTAAACCCAAGGCCTCCCCTGGATTTACAGCCAGTAAGATCCACACAATAGCAACCCAGACACAGCCACGTGTGGCCCTTGATTTTGGTGTCCATAGCCCTGGGTACAGCTGATTTTCTGGACACATTTATGGGTGCCTGGATCAGACCCCCAGGATCAGCCTCTAGAGATGATTGGGATAATTTGCCAGCTGTCTCCATGGTGATTAGTGTGCTCTAATAATCTAATCAAACCCACCAGAACAGGGCAGTAGGAACAGACCTCAAATCATAGAGAGGCAAGACAGGGCTCCCAGCCAAGGAGCTGGGAGTGGGGGAGGAGGACAGAGACAGTAAGCTACCAAGATGGAGGGAGAGGGAGTAGAAGGAAACAAGACAAAGAAGGAAGAAAAGTGAGGGGCTATCTTGAGCCTCTAAGGCCCAGCTTGCGCTTCTGGAGAACTGGGGCTCAGGCAGGGGCTCAGTCCCAGGGAGGCTGGAGCCGCTGTCTCCATGTTTGGGTCTGTGTGGAGTTGGGGGGCCATGGCCAAGGCCCCCTGGAGGAGCCCAGTATTGGTTGTGATGTCAGTCTCACAGGTCCTTGTGATCCCTGCGTGCAAAGCTGGATGCAGGGACATGGAGAGAGGGGGAACTGCCTGCACCCTCTGCCTTCATTGCCCATCTGCACGGGGCCCGGCCCAGCTGAGCCAGGGGCTGGCGCTGGTGAAGGAGGAAGAACAAGAGGATGGTGACCCAAGTGGAAAGAGAGAGAGAACCAAGTGGCAAGAGGGAGAGTCTCACCCGCTGCCTTGTTGAGCTCCAGGCGACAGGCAGAGGAGACAAACCCGGAACAAAAACAAGCTTTCAATCCCAAACTGACTTTGGCCTGCTCAGGGCAAAGCCCGTGCTGTCCCCCTGCCGCATGCCTGCCCCAGGGCTCCTGTTCCCTTCTAGAAAACAGGTTCCTCTTTCAGACTTACTGGTAAAATGGCATCAGCAAATGGGATCCAGATGGCCCCGGGCTCCGACCAGCTGGGCAAGGCTGGCTCTTTCTGTGGCACTGGGAGGAGCCCGGCTCACCTTGGGGCATGATACGATTATGAAGACTGGAAAGGGAGCACAACGCCAGCCATTCGGACAGTGAGCTCTGCAGGGCAGGGACTGGCTCTGACTCTAGGTCTGCAGAGCTGCTCTAGAGCGGCAGCACGTGTTCAGATTTAAACCCTGCTCTCTGCTCGGAGCGGGTCGTAGGGAACCTTTCACCATAGCCATCAGCGTCCCAGACTGCAGGGAAGCATGGGGTACGCCCCTACATCAGGACTCTGCGTCAACGCATATTGGAGCAAGCTGGTGCTGAGAGCAAGGCCAGATCTTGGCAGCTCAGCAGGGTCAGACGCACGAGCTAGCCACGCAGCCAGCAGGGAGTGAGAGGAGACACACCCAGGCGGGAGAGGAGATGGTGTTGGAGGTAGCCCTGGGCTGAGATTTAAGACAAAGGTAAGTGGATGCATCAAGTAGTGCGGAGGATTCAGTTGCTGTTTTCCCTCCCTCCGACTCAGCACTGACCTACCCGCCAGCATGGTGCTGGCCCGCCCTGGGCTGCGTGCGGAACTGGCGTTTGTGTCACATCTAAAATGCTTGGCCACAGAGGTGCCACCTGGGGACTACTGACCCCGTGTGCAATACTCCATCCTGAGACAGAGGACCAGCAAAGCCCGGCACAAGGCATCTCCAGAGCTGCCCCCCGGGTTCAAGAGGAGGGTGGCTGCCATGTGCTGCCTCCTAAGACAAATAGGTGCAGCTGGCAGAGGCCTGGCACACTGTCAGTGCGTCTCTCAGCAGGGTAAAGTCTGAGTGCCCCAGGGCTATGCAGCCAGCGCTGCAGGAACCACTATTCATCCCAGCCGCTGTCCACTGTGCTCCCTCTCTGCCCTGGGCAGGGACACTGCTAAGGGTCTGGCCAAACCCATCCGCTGAACGGCGGGGGCAGGGCTGAAGTGGGTCTCATGGGTCACCAGGTTAAAACCCCTGTCCAGTAAGATTAGCCTCTCTGGTTCCCCCACCCCCAAGTATATGTTCCCTTCCCCGGAATCCGCCCCCAGAGTCCATTCCCCACTCTCTCCCCCACCCTGCCTTCCTGCTGCTAACACCCTCTGCACGATCTCCACGGAGACGGCTTCCTTGCTTTCCGCCTGGGGGCTGGTGAATTTGCCAATCGCTCTGATCAGAGCTTTGCTTTCAGGCAATAGCTCCCCTAGTGATGCTGAGAAACGCCACATGGGGTGGATGGACATAAGCAGCACTAAAATGGCCGCCCCTCGGCAAAGGGGCTGGGAACAGCTGGTGTGAGGTGTGAGCAGAGGAGCAGCTCTAGAGAGGCCAGTTCTCCCCCCCTCCCCCCGGATAACAGCCATGCTAGGATGGAGCGGTATCCCCTGGGCCCAGACAGGCAGGGGATCCCGGGGAGCGGTATCCCCAGGGCCCAGGCAGGCAGGGGATCCCGGGGAGTGGTATCCCCAGGGCCCAGGCAGGCAGGGGATCCCAGGGGGCGGTATCCCCTGGGCCCAGGCAGGCAGGGTTAACCTGTTATTTCTATAGAAAAAAATGAAAATCCAAGCAGGAGACTTACAGAGATCCCTGGTTCCAAGGAGTCCGTGTTCACGATAATGGGAGCAGGGTTAGCCTGTTAGAGAGACGGAGACAAAACCCAGAGTATCACACCGCTGAGCTATGGGTCCCCGGACCGTCCCCATGCTCCAAGCCACCCAGCCACCCTCTCCAAGACTTGCCCACCAGACACACAATCACACGGCACTTAACAGAAGAGCAAGACATGAAAATAAGGCAGTGTTCTCTGGCACTCTCCCTCCACCACCCCATGCTCTCAGATACCCCACCCAGGTTGTCTCTCTCTTTGGACAATAGAGACCTGGCAAAATTCTCACAGGCTTTTCCAGGTGCCGCATCCAGTCCAGTAGCATTCCAGTCCCTGGGGAGCCCAGGTGCTGTGGCACAGGAAGGGAAGGAAACAGATCCCACCCCTAGCCTCTATCCCAGCTCCAGAGCAGATCGTACCCCGGCGACTGGGAGCCTGGCCGCTGGGGAGAGGGAAAAAAGGTACTTCCAGCCGATGTGGAGCGGCACCAGTGGAAGGAGCTGGGAACTGCCAAGTTCCAGTCCCCATTCTGCAGCAGATGCACCCTGTGACCTTGGGTGAGTCCCTTCTCTTCCCCTCATGGAGGGGCTGTGAGAATGAACTCAGTAATATGTGCACAGCACACAGGAGCACACAGCCTGGCCAACGTGCTCAGGGGAGTGGCACCTGCAGAAACTCTGGCGTCAACATTCGTTTCACAACTTGCAATCTGGCCTGTTAAGGGCGTGTGAGCCTCTAATCCAGACCCACAGGTTCCCGTGCAGCCCTCAGACCCAGGCACCACTGGACAGCTCACCCAGAACTACTGGAAGTGAGGGGCTAGCAGAACTCTCACCCTCCCACAAGGATCCTGACTGGGGACAGTGACTGGCCGGACCAGACCACATTAGTCAGGAGGCGGCCCAGGAAGTTGTCTGAGCAATGGAGAGACTTTCTGACTGGCTGCTGCACTGCGCCTGACTCTTGTTTGAGCCTTGGTTTCCATTTCTGGCTCTGACCATTTGGCCTGACCACTCCTGCTCAGAGCACTGGGCCAGTCCGTCCGTGTCCCAGTCCTGACACTGCCTCCTTGGGTTTTCAGCTTCCTTTGAACAGCCAACCAGCTGCTGCACTACCAGTCATCAGCTGGCCTCTCTGACCCAGCACCTCCAAGATGAACACCGTGGAGTGCCCCGGGATGGGCCATGGCAGTCAATGATTTGCAGACAATGGAGAGAAGCTTCCATTTCCTCAAGCCACTTGAGCCGTCCATACCTCCTCCAGGGCACCATGTATACATCCCCCAAAGCACCTCCCGCCCCGGCACTCGACAGCTCTCCTCCCAAAGCACCGCACGGACTCTCCCCCAGCCGGCCCAGGAATGTCTCTCCTCCCCTCGGCACCAGGCGGATTTCCCCCCTCCCCACACTCTGGGCTGTTCCCTGTTAGCGTAGCTGATCTGTGACCTCGAGGCTGATACTTGGTGCCTTTCCAGGCGTTAGGGAACCTCTCTGCCCTAGACAACGAGCTTCTCCAGTCGCTGCAGCTCCCCTCCCTGGTCTCCTCTGCTTCTGGCGCTGTGTTTGACAGAGGAGAGCTACACGTGTGCTGGAGGAAGGAGGCGGAGCAGGCCTGAGTGCTCCTGAGGCCAGGTGAGAGGGAGGGCGGTGACGAGAGGTAGCCACAGGTGCGGGAATGTCTTTGTGTATCAATGACCTGGAGCATAGGCAGGCAGGGAAGCACATTTCCTGACACAAGGTCAGGCTGGAATGAGAATGGAGGCCGGGAAAGGACTGGTCCAGGCCCTGAGGATGGGAGAGGGATACAGCGATCACCCAATGGCAGAAGGTGAGCAGCAAGGCGAGAGAGCCGGGCGATGAGTACTGCAGAGGTGGAGAAGAGCATGTGATAAAGCCCCAACGGCTTGTGTGGTTAGAGAGTGAGAGCTGTACTGAGAGATTCAAACGTTCCATCGGGCGCTTTCCATCCCCTCAAGACACATGAGGCACGAGCTTTTTACCCCTTTTTTGTGCTTTGGGTCTCAGGGACTCCCCATCTTCCAGCCCTTTGCTTGGGCTCAGAGTCTGGAACGAGTGCAGGTGAGACACAAAGAGTGAAAATGGGACAAATCACATGACACAGTTATTGAGGTATCAGCTGTAGGTCCATTCACGGGACCTGCTGCCCCAGCCCTGGTGCTGAGTCTATGTTCAGCCCTGCTGGGGAGCTGTCCAGCAAGAGACCCTCCTGAAGGACAGCACCCAGGCACAACCTGCTACTGCCCCGGGGCTCCTCCTCCCCACAAACCGGTCTAGAGAGAAATGCAAGAATCAAAGAACTGAGAGCGGCAGGAGGCACCGAGCGTATCCTGGCCACTGCAGGCCCTCTGCAGCTCTGGGAATACACACGTACAATTGTCCCAAACACCTAGTAAACAATGAACACGGCTTCACCTGGGCAAAACCATTATGCCCATTAATTGGTTGATGACACTGAAATCTGTCCCATGGCTGAGCAAAATGATCTAGAGACAGAATGATGCCCTGAAACTCAGGGATCAAAGGCTGGCTCCTTAACTCACTATTTCTCTCCACAGTCAGGGCTGATGTGGAGACAGCATGCTCCCCCCCCCCCCCCCGAAATGATGCATCACTTGAATTGCCATCGCCGGCCATAACTGTCCACCACAGGGTTTTGTCCTTTGAAGCATCTTGCTAGATGGTCTGATTTGGTGAGGCAGCTCCTTCCTTAGAGGTTTTTAAGGCCAGGCTTGACGAAGCCCTGGCTGGGATGATTTAGTTGGGGATTGGTCCTGCTTTGAGCAGGGGGTTGGACTAGATGACCTCCTGAGGTCCCTTCCAACCCTGATATTCTATGATTCCTTTGTTCCAGCCACAAGCAGCGCTGATGTGTTCCCAAGAGAGCCACATTCAGCCCTCTGCCACCAGGAAGATGCTGGGTTGACTAGGCTTGCAAGGCAGTAAAGGGGAATATCTCACAAGATCACTCACCCTCCAACACAAGAGACATTTTACAGAAGTACGATTAGAAACTTCCTCCGCACATTTGTGCCCCCCCCCGGCCTCCTCCCTTCCTGACACTCACCTCAAGCACAGAAGAACAAAGCTCCTGTACCAGATTCCCCTCCCTCTGCCTCTTCCAACACAGCTCCTAACCAGCTGTGCTCTACCTGCTGCTGCTTGGTAACCTCCTCCTCCTCACTCCCCACAAACAGCGTTCTCAAGGATGCGCCTCCTTCCGCTCCACTTCTGCCAAGCAGGTTCAATAAGAACAGATGTTATCTTCCACCATAATTAATAAAAGTATTCAAAATAATGAATGGCCTAGAGAAGGAAGATTGGGAACTCATTTTCATACCATCTATAGTAGTGGTTTTCAACCTATTTATTATTGTGGGCCAGGAGGCAGCCCCAACCCTGGACCCCTGCCCTGTGGGGCCAGCCAGTGACCCCGACCCTGGACTGTGTGGGGCTGGGCAGCAGCCCCGGACCCCAGACCCTCACTGTGGGGGGCTGGGCAACTACCCCGGACCCTGTGGGGATGGCTGGCGACCCTGATCCCAGACCCCATAGGGCCGGCTGGCAGCCCCAGACCCCAGACCATGCGGGGCTGCGTGGTAGCTGTAGACCCCAGACCATGCAGGGCTGCAGCTGTGTGCTAACTGGGCTGCATGCGGCCCACGGGCTGCGGGCTGAGAACTGCTGATCTATAGTCTCCCTTTCTCATAAAAGAAAGACACGTGCAAAGTACTACCTTTAGGAAGGAAAAATCAAAGACACCAATATACAATGGTGACTAGCTGGCGAGGCAGCCGGTGACGAAGCAGAGCGACTGCCAGCCAGCACAGCAGGGGATTAAAGAGAGACTCTGCTCTGCCCCTGCCCAGCTAGCCCTGTTATACCGCCAGCTATGCCAGGCCTGGAGGGGGAGAAAAGGAGAGAGCTGAGCTCAGTTCAGGGCTGACTGGGGCAGGGGCAGGAGCAAGCCACCTCTCTAAGTGAGGGGAAGGATCACTAACCTGCCCACCCAGGCAGCCACCAGGGAGGAAGCCCTGTGCCCCCAGCCATGGGGAACTCTGGAGGAGACCCAGGAACCTCCAGCTCCAAAGGCAACTGAGTGGGTGAAGCCCAGTGATATTGTGGGGCTTGGCCTCACCATTGGCAGAGCCTGGGGCCATGATGAGGTGCCACTCCAGACCCAAGGGCAGGAGCCTGCAGGAACAGGCCATCCAGGAAGTAGCCCAGGGCAGTGAATTTAGACTCCCTGCCGGGAGGGGTAACAAACACAGGAACCTGGGTTGGGACCCAGGGGAGAGGGAGGGCCTAGGACTCTCTCCAGCTCCCCACCAGCCTTAGAGACTGAGGCCCCACAACCAAGTAGGGAGTTGGGAGCCGTGCACTCTAAGCACCAGGCCGTCCATCCCTCCAGGCTGGCTGTTACACAGCCGTACTGCAGGAAAGTAACGGGGGGTTTACAGCAGATCAAAGTGAAAACGAGTCAACAATGTAATTCTGGTGCAGAAAAGGCAAATGAAATTATGGGATGTATTAACAGACGTCTCGTATGTAAGGCCTGGGAGGTAATTGTTCCACTCTACGCAGCACCAGTGAGGCCTCAGCTGGAGTACTCTGTCCAGTTTTGGGCAACACATGTTAAGAAAGATGTGGACAAACTTGAGTGAATCCAGAAAAGAGCAACAAAAATGATAAAATGTTTAGAAGCCCTGACCTGTGAGGAAAAGTTGAAAGAATTTGACATGTATATTCTAGAGAAGAGAAGACTGAGGACATGATAAGAGTCTTCAAATATGTTAAGGGTTGTTACAAAGAGGACAGTGATCAATTATTCTCTATGTCCACTGGGGGTAGGGCAAGAAGGAATCTGCTCAATTTGCAGCAAGGGAGATTTAAGTTTGAATTAGGAAAAACTTTCACAAGTTATCTAGGCAGGTTGTGGAATTCCCATCGCTGGAATTTTTAAGAAAGGGGTAGGCAAGAACTTGTCAGGGATGGTCTAGGTATACTTAA